TTCTTAAACATATGGTCACAAATGCTTTGTTAGTGAAAATGAAAAGCATTTGGAAATCAAATCAGACAAGTAACATTATTTTATGAGAAAATGTACATATTAGACTTCAACATAACAGCATCTTAATGTAAAAAAATGTTTACAGAAGTTGCTTAAAATCTTCTGCATTAGTTTGAATGCATAAATGAACCCTGTAATGTCAAGAATCCCTAGTACGCCAAAACATTCCAGGCATGTGATCTATTGTCAGTGCAGTCGCTTGAATCAAATGCCAAAACTCATCTCAGATGTTGACTCCCTTTTATTAAATTTAGCATTTGCATCCTGTTTTGTATTTTGGATAATAAGAATAACTGTCTACACAATCGTTATTCTATAACAGTTATTTTGTTACATTTTTTAACAAAATATTTGCCTCAACTACCGGATGATGCAACAAACTGCATGGTACAAAGCACGATAGAATTCTTGCTAATTTCAGCCACGACATAATGCAGTTTTTGGATTCTCACTCCCCAATCAATGGGTGGGATGAAATGGACCAGCTTTATGACCTCCGTGATCACCCAATCTCATACCTGCCAACTTCTATCTGTGTGGCCTTCTGAAGAGCAGTTTACTCAAAAAGCTAATAAACAGTATTAAGATGATAACTGTCTACACAAGTCTTACTCTTCTGCAGCAATTATTTTGCTACGTACATGTTTTAGCCTAATCAGGTTATTCTGATATGTGAATAGCTCGATACATTGATGTGTATGCACATATGCAGTGGATTCCGGTTAATTGGGATACACCGGGACTAGAACACTTCGGCCCAATTAAGCGCCTGCCCCGATTATCTGAAGTTCCACATAAAAGGTAAAAAAGGTTTGTTCTTTAAGATTTGTCCCAAATAAACTGCTGCCCGATTAACCGATGGCCCAACTAACGAGAATCAACTGTACTTTTAAGTAAGGTAAAAGATGCTGGGATCCATGCATGGTTCCTAAGGGAGTTTCCACATAAACTGCAGTAGAAGCATACATAAGTACCTCTGTGTAGAAAGCCTCTTGGTACTAGCATTGAAAAGTTAAGTATTAAAAAGCTAAGGAATCAGAATATAAACAGGAAACCACCGTGTGGGTTTGCCCAATGGCTAATTTTAAAACTAAAGTTAAAAATTGAAGTTAACATAATTATGAAATTAAAGGATTAATTAGGCAGAAGCTGAGTCAAGAAAGGACAGCTGGAATAGCCAGGTGATTGACTAGGACAATTACAGAAGTACTAAATACTCAGTGAAGACGTGTCTGCCCCACGTTTGACGTCTAGAGAAATATTTCCATGGCTACTTATTCTTAGTTACAACTTCTGTGAAACGGCATACTCATTTCAGAAATTTCTTTCAGCAAGCTACACCTCAGCTTCATCATGACTGATCTGGTGCCTCCTCAACTTCCTATCCACACTGTGATCCCTTCTCGTTCCTTCTACGTGGAATTTTCGCTTCACTCTCTCTGTTGACGTTGCTTGCTGTTGGCATGCTAGAGATGAAGACCTCATTCTGTGTTCTGGCTTTGGAAGCGACATCAATGGGCCAGCAAAAGGAAACTAGGCCAGACTGCAGTTGGTTTACTTTGGCTTGAAAGGTAGGCAGGGATTCCAAATTCCATTTGGTCTGTGTATTTAAAACTCGCTTGTAATCCTATGTTTAAGCCCACCTCTGGATAAAGCATCCCCTGTGGATTTTGTTCAGTCACTTCCCTGGTTTTTTATTCATATGCCTCAGCTTTTAATTTATACTTATTTGTACTTGTTACACTCTTCTGGCTGCTGCCTCGTTGCTTCAGACACTGCATACTCAATTTTCAATGACACCACCAACACTTGTGTTGACAGCTGTCATTTGTCAGTGTGTCTATGTGTCATGACCTCCTTTACTATTTGAATCAACTAATTTATTACACATTCATTACATCTTCTCACAATATCTTGTGTCCTTATTATCTCTGTGAGTGAGAGCCATTTTCATGTTCGTACTGTTACAGAAACTGGGCTGTGGTTTGGATGTGTCTATGGCAGCATCCCATTCACATCACCTGAGTTCACCTTATCATATTATGTTTCTGTCAAAAGAATTAAAACTTGAACGAAACAGTCATCATGATTTCATCCATGGATTTTTTATTCTCATCAACTTTTTTTTTAAGTTATGAAACAGTGATTTATCAGATGCTGCAGACCTAGTATTTCATCCAAACCGGGATGACGGGACTATGCATGTTAGACCATAATAGAAAACGGGTATCTGATAATATATTTAGGACTTATACAGTGGGAGTATTAATTTAAAATTAGTGAAAATTAAGACACCTTACTTCAAATAATGACACAAGAATAAAAATGTGTGTATGTGCACGTGCACGCATGCATGTATGTATAGGACACCATTATTCCATTATTATAAGATGTTATCCTTTATTACATAAGAATAGAATGAGCCGGGATAGCTCAGTCAGTATAGTGACTAGCTACGGGCTGGACGACCGGGGTTCGATCCCCTACAGGGGCAGAGGATTTTTCCTCTAGCCTCTGCGTCCAGACCGGCTCTGGGGCCCATCCAGCCTCCTCTACAATGGGTACCTGGGTCCTTTCCCGGGGGTAAAGCCGGTTGGGGCGTGATGCTGACCACTCACCCCCATCTAGTGCCGGGGTCAAGGAAGAGAGGAGCTATACCTCCACTCCCCCCAAGCGCCTACATGGCGTATAGTGGGACAAACTTTACTTTTTACTTTACTTTTACATATGAATAGAGGACTTTAACACCCGGATTAAGGACCTGCTGGCTGGACTGTAACTTTAGGATTTAACAGTTTAGCAGCATGCTACTGTAACACAAAGCCAGACATGGCCAGCTGCATTGCATGCAAGACGCTACACATGGCTGATCAAGGTTAAACATCTACTACTTCACACACCTGTCTGTATACTCATGCAGAAATTAAAATACATTTGCTAAAGCAATTTAAGAAAATGTTTTAAGTACACAAGTAAAAATGTTCATGCACTGGCATTATAACTGGTTTTTAATACGCTATAACGGAATCTCTTTAGGAGTGAAGAGCATAATTAATGGTAATCTGAACTCATTGCTCAAACCACTGATAAACGATGACAGATGCAGCACATCCATGTACTAAAATAATACAAACTACATTTACAGGGTAAAACATCACTGGAAGAAAGTTTAGAAGTTTACTCACTGGACAACAAAAATTGTAAACGCGGTTCCAATCAAAACATAACCCAAATTATAACAGTATTTGTAAGCTTTGGTAACATCAATATAACAAGACAAATGAGCTCTTTTTAGTTTTTAGGAAGAAGTTATGGAATGATGAATTATTTTCGGGCTACCAGCCATGTCGTGTGGTTTAATGGAGATAACACCACCGTTTTGGGACCTTCAGTACCCTGAGGATGAGGATGAAGATGATTCTCAAAATGTTGGTGTTTTCTCCATTAAACCACACGACATGGCTGGTTGCCCAAAAATAATTCATTATACTTCGTTGCCGTGAAAGCTTCAGATCATACAACTTATAGAATGGCTTTACAGCAGATATCCATCACCTTCTTAAAGACAAACAAATCACTTCCTGGAGTCAGGAAAAATTATATTATTCTTAACACTTCAAATTAAGAAATATTTAAATGAAAATTTAAAAATATATTAATTGCTCTTTTCTGTGTTAGTGTGTTAACATTTTATTTACCTAATGTTGTATTTTTTAATGTATATGACAAATGCTAGAGCCTGTAGAAAAGGTAAGATTTTATCTTTGTTCTACTTGTGAGACATGAGTACTTGTTGTATTGTTACATTGGGGTAGGAACATGTCTCTAAGGAACTATTGGTGTTAAAGTGGGGCTGAGAGCAAACTGAATTTGTTATCTTTGGGTATATCATTTTTACCACACTCTCATTTCTGGAGCAAATTACAAAATTTGTCACCCTCATCTGCCGACCAACTACTTTCTCTCATCAGCAGCTGTTCCATTTTTCACATTCAATTGCCAAATAACTAGCACATCCTCAAGATCAATTTTTGCGCCTTCAACCATTTCACACTTCTACATGTTTCATTACATCCTTTCTTCTTTTCACACATAGCATCAGTAAATGAGATGAATAGCCGACAATATTTTGCTGGCTTTCACCATGTCACAAAAGAACACCTCTATTTTTGTGTATTATACTCGACTGTTTCCACTATCAAATTAATTCCCCTCCCATGGCTGGTGCATTTATTGCAATTGCCTGGATTTGGAATGTCATTACGCGTACCACTGACCACACGTAGCAATGCTTCTTCCTTCCTGAGTCACTGCAAGTGGTTTCTTACCTGAATATGTTTCATTTGGTAATGCAAAATTGTTGGCATGCCATATTTGTACAACTGAATCATCCGGGGATTTGTGTGTACAGCTGGTGAAGACAAAATGGCGCGGTGCTGTATCGGATATGATCATAACGCTTAACAGTACATTTGTATTTCCACAAATATTGGTGGATGGCAAGTACAGGGGTGGTGCTTTATCAGGGAATGCTCACTGAAATTACATATGGAATTTCTGTTCTCAGGTTTTTGTAGACACAATACAAGGGTGGTGGTATACAGAGGGACACTGTATTGGGGTCTAACTGTAATTTATTCCTCCCAAAACCTTTTGTAGACCACTACCAATATGAATTATTCTAAAACACTATATTAAAGGGCATTTGAGAAACCCATTATTTTAATGTAAAAGAATCATATACATTTTAGGTTCAAAGATCTGTGATTTTTATGTGGCTACAATGACACAAAAAACGGATACTAGTATTGATAAAATGCAGTAATAAAGACTGCAATATGACACAGAAACTACGAGGCAGGAAGCAAATCTCAATAAAAGTGATGTTCAAATAACTAACAAAATATATCCCTGCTCGAAAGAAGTGACATGGTACTTACTTTTCATGGGTGTGGCTAGTTTCTTCAAAAACACTCTCTTTCATCCAATCCGTATTATCACAGTTATGTACCGTCTGCAAGAGAAAAAGAAACAACATTATACATACACACTAATATAATATTTTAGTGTTTTTATTTAGGGGACACACTGAACACTAGTGTGAATAAAGATGTAACGTTGTACTTCATTTGGGCCTTGCATGTCTGATCATTACATGGGCATTAAGTACAGAGAATAAGACTAATATATATAATTTCAACTGATTAGTCATTTTGAAACAAAATTACACTCCTCAAAACAATCAAGGGGTCAGGATTTCAAATGGTCGTAAATTTTCTTGGGCTTTGTTAATTTATTGAAATGTGGGTAGTTTAGAGAATAGACCTTTATTTAAACAAAAACAGACCTCTTTGTAACAGCAAACACAACTAAAGCCTTGTTACACTGAACAGTTTTGAACTAGTCACAAAAAGGAATGGAACTTTTATTTGCATCAAGTTTTTGTGACAAAATTTCAAGCTTCTTTTGCGCTTAGTAGGCAGTTGGACCCCCTTCAACTCGAAGGACAGCTATACAGCGTTGAGGCATACTCCGGACAATCCTCCGGATGTCGATTTGGGAAATTTGCACCCATTCCTCCAAACGGGCATCTTCCAGGTCCCGCAGTGTGGTACGTGCGTTCTGACGGTCTCTGACGCTTCTTCCCAGTACGTCCCACACATGCTCAATAGGGTTCATGTCTGGGCTGCGAGCTGGCCATGGTAAAATGGCGATGTTGTGCTCTTGGAGGTACTCCCTGATGATTCCTGCAACGTGAGGGCGGGCACTGTCATGCATTCGGAGAAAATTTTCTCCAAATGCCAATGCATGGGGATGCACATGAGGTTCCAGCACCTCATGAATGTAACGCCGCACAGTTCTGATGATGACGAGGTTGGTTTTGTCGTCAATCGAAATACCGGCCCACACCATTATGGAGCCACCACCAAAACTGATATTTTCCTGGACTGTGACTGGTAGAAAACACTCTCCTGGCCGTCGCCAAACTCGGACATGTCCATTGTTGCCCTGCAGCAGAAATCTGGACTTGTCGGTGAAAAGGACATTGCGCCAATGACACAGTTGCCAATGTTCATGTTCCTGGGCGAACTTTTCACGCTCGTTTATGCTCCCTCATCAATCGGGGCACTCTAGCGGGACGCCTGGACATCAGATCCACCTCTCAAAGACGGTTTATCACTGTTTGGTCAGACACTTGTCGACCTGTAGCTCGGGAAAGGTCATTTTGCAAGGTCAGTGCGGTATCTCTGCGGTGCCTCAAGGCTTGTAGACGCAGAAAACAATCATCCCTAGCAGTTGTTGCCCTGTGACAACCCTGTCCTCGACGTCGAATGACCATTCCAGTGTCTTGGTATCTGGGGCTTAGTCGCCATATCAAGGATTGAACCACAATGAGCTGTCCGGCAACATACCGTTGTGTTTGGACCTCTTGCAGAAGCATGACAGCCTGTGTTGCTTCTATTGCTGTCAAATGTCTCCTTACACCTTCCTAACTTGCACATTGCGCTGCATAACAACAGTAAACCTGTATCGTCAATAACAAACACAAGCACTGCTCTCCTTCATTCCTGTTTTCAATACCTTTGCTCTCGTAGGTTTCTCTTCCTGAAATAACCAACCGTAACTGATCCCACCTTTCACAATTGCACTTGTATTAGCATTGTTTACAACCCCGCAGAGTGCGTTTATTTCAAATTCAGTCCAAGAAACTTTACAACCATTTGAAAACTTGACCCCTTAATTGTTTTGAGGAGTGTATAATCTAGATACAATATGTTTATCTTCAGATAATTAAAATGATGTTAAACATTCAAACAAGGACGTCACGGATGTCATGCCAACCTCTCTACATGAAAATGCAGCAGGCAATGTGTGACACCATGTGCAGTACGATTGGTAAATTTTATTTTTTAAGTTTGAATGCAATGTGACATAAAATTAATCTAAACTTTGATATGGCTTATAAATTACTTTATAAGCTACGTGCAGCTTATATGAACACAAATACAAAACTTCTTTGCATTATCTCTTTCATATATCCAGTTCTATGCACAAATTAAACTTGTCAATACTAAAATAAATTGATATTAAAAGATGCTAATAGGCACTAAGCTACCTATGAAATCCCCTTCCCTTTAAGGAATCAAAAAGCTCTTTACTGTGACAATGTGAGCCCACCACCAATCCTCATTTAGTCCCAGATAAATCCCATCCACATCTTCACTACCTGACATCAAGATCAATTTTAATGTAATTTTTTTATAGCCTGGGTCTTCAAAGCAGTTTTTCAACTAAAAATATATATACATTTCTGATCTTGCCCATGCGTCCTACACGCCAAACCCATCTCACCCTCCTTGATTTTATCATCTAATTTTATAAAGAGTATAAATAAACATTTTGCAATATTCTCTAGCCCCCTGTTATTTCCCCACCCCCCTCTTTGGTCCAAATATTCCTCCCAGTTTCATGCTCTCAAATGTTACCTCTATGTTATTCATAATATCCATGATGTCCCATGCTCTTGAGACATCTGCATAATGAGACGTCATGGGTTGCACAGCATCAATGTCTCTTTGAAGAGTCTGATCACTGTGTGAACATACCCCTGCAACATAGATAGGTTTTTCACAATCACTATATCATTCTTTAAATTCAGGGAGACAAACAGCAGCAACAAACGTGTTCTATGCCCCACATTCTGCAAAGTCACTCTTCCAAAATGTGCCTCTCTACGGCCAAAAGCCACGTGCTTCCAAAAGTGTCTCTAATACTTTCATTATCTCCACAGAAGGTTGCGTATTGCATCCCTATAAAATAAATCTCCTTTTTCATTCAAAGACACATAAGCAAGAAACTTATGCACACCAGTTTATTTTCATGGCTGATGTGAATTTGTACATCACGTTCATGTAGCGTGTTATAAATCCGTGAAATAGACATTCTTCTTCAATGCTGTATGGTATAAAACAGTTCCAGTGCAAATACAATTGTTTACTTCCCTTCTGAGTACATGAATAATGTCCTCATAACTGTCAATATTAAAGCACAACCGTGACCACATTTTAGATAATTTTGCCTTTATAATTGAACAGACAGCACAAGAATGTGAAATTTTTTAGTGTTTTAAGCTTTTCATGCACAATTGGCTTTGTAAGCTCACTATGGAACAATCTGCAGAAATTTGTAAGCTTGTAAGCACATGAAGATTTCTGTCTTCTGGGTTGTTGCGCTGTGTAGACTGGTCGATGTTAACCAACTGCCTCCTTCATCGCCCTGATGACGGAGGCAGTATGACCTCTGAAACGTTGGTTAACATCGACCAGACTACACAGCGCAACAAC